TTTCACTGGTGTGACACTTTGGTTATAATGAAATCATGGAGCTAATAACAAATTTGGAGTGATTTGCAACAAAATTAAAGAAATCAAAATTTTTTGACAAAGATTTGCAACAAAATGATCACATGTAAAGAAATGTCACAACTTTTCTTGGAGAATGTGTACAAATAGATAAACTTTTTGCCAACATTATTTTAAATCATGATACAAAATTCATATCCAAATTCTAACAATCTCTTTTCAAGATCTTATAAGTGAAGATTTATATATCATCGACATATCATTGTTACACAAATGAACAAATCGAACAAGTAAATTGAATATTACAGTAGTATTAAAGGTGCTTCATCAACTAACATTCAAACAATCAAGTAGATCTATTTGCAGTCATAGAGTTCTCCTACAATAATACATTTTAAGAGTCCATCCAACAGGTTTTGTTCTTTGCAAACTATAAATATCATTAACGATTTGATTTTTTGTTTTTTAGTTTCGCAATAAATCTGGCTGCGCAAAATCTTGTTACTAGACTTTTTGGAAATTCACAAAGACACGAAGACAAAGACTTGAAGAAGTTTTAAAGTGATAGAAAAGATATGAAGACAAATCTTAAAAAACTAAATTCAAACATTTTAGTTGGAAATAAAATATGGTTTTTGCAATTTGAAGACTCCTCATTTGAACAAAAATTTTAACTATCGTCATCTTGGACCTTTTTTTGTGAGTATGCAAGTCAAAGAGCTAGATAACAAGTTGTACTTATCATCAATAAAACTTCATCTAGTGTTTCTATTTACTTGCTTGAGCCAAATAAAAATTGACTATTTCAAGATAATTGTTAGTAGCTCTGCCACCAATCAAGATTAACTGGGAACAAAATTAAAAGTTTTATGCATAAGTTGAAAAAGAATAAATATCTTGTACATTGGCAGATCTATGAAGTAAGCAAACAAACTTGAAAATCTGTTGTTTATCTTGTTAACGCTCTCAAAATGATGAAAAAAATTCATCTTCAATATCCAACGAAACTGGATGTCTAAGATATTTGAACAACATCATCATCAAATGAATGAGTATCTATATGACTATCACATAGATAGTCATATAGATAATAATAGATTTTTGTAATATTTTATTTTTTTATGAGATAAATAAAACTCTTGAAACTTGTTGCTTGAAGGCGATGGTGTAGGGTGAGATTACAAACATGACATACCGGTGACGGTGTATATTTTCAACTTCAGACTAGAAGCAATGACAGTGTGTCTTTCCAACTTTGAAATGGTTTGTATTTTCAACTTCGTTGTGACTTCTTTGAACTTTGAACAAGTAGTGTCGCTGGTGACTCCTTTCAACTTTGAAAGCGTTGCTTCTTTTCAACTTCAAAGTTTCTGGTATCATCCTAAAAGTATATCTAAAAAGTTAATGAACATTATCTTTCACTCTTGTTTACATCAATCATATATTCCTTCAATTATCACAACTACTTCTAATATTTTCACTTTGAGCTTATGTTGATCTTTTGTGACAAATCTATTCACTTTTGATCTATTTTGATTTTACTTTGAGATATACAGTCAATCTAGTACTTTTATCTAATATAGAGTTATTGTCCACAAACGATCTAATTTAAACCATTTTTGATAAACCAAATAATGATCAAAATTCAAAAGATGAATTTGAATTTGAAATTAATAAATTGGAATAAAATTGATTAATTACCATTGATAATACAACATGAATCTTCATCAATGAAGCTATCTAATTTTTGTAAGACTCTTATTCGATGTTTCAAGAAAGATTTATTTTGAGTTCAATTATGCATACTTTAGTGATAAGTTTCTAATTTAAGAAATAAAATTTTCATTAATATTTGATGAATATTTAATTTTTATTTTTTAATATTATGCAATCTAGATTTTGATACCGTATATCTATGTTTGTGCTATTGTTATAAATTTTGACATGCCAATTGCTATAACTTGCAAAAACTAAGTTATGAATCATCATTATACTGATCATTCATATACAATAACTAGAGTTTATGCAGAGTGCTTTGTTATTATCTACATAAATTTCATTGTTAATACTTTTGTTATTTGCAAATGAGAAATTATTTTTTATTACCTTTGCTTGCATAATTTATATCAGAGTTTCAGCAAATTGGATTATTCAAATGAAGAATATTGATTGAAGAATTCAAGGACAAGAATTGATTTAACTTTTGTTGGAAAACTCTCTTAGTTTAAACGTTTGGACGATTTTTAAATGAATCAATATATATGCAAAAACAAAATGACAAAAAATCTAACCTGAGAGTTCTGATGATTGAACCTCTTGATATTAGTTTATATTGATATGATATCTAAAATTTTGAAAATTTATGTATCATATTTAGAAATGATAAATAATGATCATGTATGCAAATTTAATTTTAAACATATATTACCGTTAAAAAACTATTTTAAATTATTTCATTCAATTTTTAGTGAAAAAAATACCTCCAAATAATTATTTTTCAATTATTGTCTAAAAAGTGTCTTAGATTTCACAAAATAAATCAATATTCCAATTCAAAATGAGTTCAATATTGCAAAAATTAAACTTTAGTATTCCAAATTTTTTTTCATGAAAATCAGTAATTAAAAAATATTTGCAACCCTTTGAAAAATTTGATTTTTCTTTTGAAAGATTAGAAGTGTTTTAGAATCAATGAACAATTTAGATTTTTGATTCCATTATCGAAAACAATGAATGTTACAGGTCTCGTGAAATGAAACTGTGGACGCTCTTACCAATTCTTGGCGTAGGAAACTGCGAGCCCAAAAAACACTTTACGAGGATACACAGATGACTGGTGGCCGTCATCCCCAAGACCATCAAAGCAGAAATTTCCGCTGCAGGTTTGAGACGTGCAGAGAGAATGTGTGGACCTTGTCCATTGTTGATTCTCAAAGACAACATGCTCAATCAAAACTCGGTCAAAGTGTTGACGTCAGAAAGAAAAACAGAAGTCCTTTTTTAAATTTCCTGTCCAGAAATTGATCATAAATTGGAACCCGGGCCGAGCATCTGGACTCGTAGGGACGTACTTTCGCGTACTGAAATCAATCAATGTTGACGGCTGATGTCCTGAAGACTCCGTTTTTCTTGAGCAGGATGCTAAAATGAGATGATATCTTGGTGAAAACCTGCAGTATGAATTCAATTTACTTCGCAACAGAGCTAAAACAAACCCAGACCGAATCAGACGCCAGGCAATAACCCAACAAGCAAGAGCAACCTAGGGACAAGCAAGACAACGGGCGTGCACAAGCAAACCTCATCCTAGAAGAAGAACAAAAACAACTCCACAGGACACAAGTCCATCAAGCCTGAAATGCGAAACAACCTGGAACACCAAATAAAAATTACACGCAGCAAGGTTTCACGTATCCAAGCGGAAGCGAGAAGGAAACGGAGTGGACTGAGATGTGCTGCGAGAGATAGCAGGAACAAAGCCCCAGGGGAAAAGATCAAAATCGGCAGTATCACAACCCATAACAGAACCACAAGCCCACCCTTAGCTAAGAACCACCTTTTCAAGAGATACATCTTCCAGCAAATTTGCAGTGCAACCATGCGTAACGTGGAACCTTCAAGATAAAGCTAGGAAGAGATGATATCTTTTGCTGAATGCCCGAATTTTCCAAGATTCCAGTCCCTCGTCATCCATTTCTAGCATCAAGAGATATACGAAGCTGATTGAGTTCCGATGAAATGATTTAGTCATCTTTGCACATCGGCTCAGGGTCAATCCTGACTGCGGCTCTGGAGAAAGGGAAGCAAGCCATCGCATCAGAAGACGATATTACTGCTTCACTCGTTTTCACAATTACTCACATATAGCCCGACATCGATCGTAGCAGCGCGATTGATTCGGATTCTTTGGAGCTATCGATGCCAGCTGATCGACATCACCTACCACAAAACGCAGAAGAGGTGTCTCCACCTTTACCTCCGATTCATGTCTGTCCTTCCCATCTTTTGACCAAGTTCAAGCGCTACTCCGAAAGGGTCAGGGCCCGCGCTCCTAACTACCTCGTTGAAACTCACGAATTAAAACTTGGTCCTGCGAAGATCCGAACGATGAAGGTCACCTGATCTGTCCTTTGAGATGAAACAAGTGGAATGAGATCGTCCTGGTGCCGGAGTTTTGTTGTTGAAAAGCTTCTGAATCGTTTCGGAGAATTGGACTCGTGATGACTCCACCTCGACTCGCTGGAAGCTGCATGCAAGCGTCTTTGTCTCATGTAAAGGTGAATGATTCAGTGTGCTTCGATCTCAACGTGGTGGACTGAGACCTTTGTCTGGAAAATTGCAGCTGCTCGTCAAAGTTACTCTCGAGACGCGGACCCCATCGACACACGCATGTAGCTTAAGGTTGACCGGGCTGGCGTACGGAAAGATCCACACTCTGTTCGAAGTCCGCACGTGTCTCCGGACGGCAGCGAACAACGATGTGACATCGTTGTTCGCTGCCGTCTGGACATACGTCCGGAGACAGGTGACATCGTCGATGTCACCTGTCAATCTGGCTCTGCTCTGGGTTTAGTAGCAGCTGCTTTGGTACCTCGCCACAATTAGAGTCCAAACCCCAAAACGCCAGTTTTACTTCTCTCATGGGCGACAAATTCAGTCGACGGAATCAAGTCAAGGATTCTGTTGAAACGAGGCTTCAAAGCCAATGGCATGTCCGTCCTACACATGTATCGTTGTTTCCAGTAGTCCTCGTCACGGCCGTCCGTAGATCTTTCGAAGATCACCTCCAGTGAAGATGTTATGTTTTCCCGCTGGGTTGGAAACGCAGAGGCCTCATCTTTTGGCCGTCGGAAAGTTGTCAGGAAAAAGTGTCTACTCTGTTTGACAACTTTGGCCGTCGGAAAGTTGTCAGGAAAAAGTGTCTACTCTGTTTGACAACTTTGACTCGCGGGTCCGGACAACCAGAAGTCGCTGGGGGGTCCACCGATTCGGTTGAAAGCAGGGGCATGCCTCAAATTGAAAGCGTTGGGACCGAGTCCATATGTCGCTAGACTGACTGGACTCGCAATTCAGAAACATCTTCCGCCCCTTGACATTCCAAGATCAATGTCAATGCGGGTCTCTCAAACCAAAGAGTTTCTCTGGGTCCCAGACAAACTCTTGCATGGGCCGCTATAAGAGCAGCGCTATCGACTATCGAAGACAATTCAATCTCCCTCCCTCAGCTGCAATCCGCGCTTGCAGCCACACACCATGATGTGAAACTTCACATCACTTCTGCCTTTCAACTTGGTGCTGACGCAAAGAACTCGGGGTTTTCAAATCCAATTTCTGTCGACTGAAATATCACACACCACAATCTGGGCTCTAATTTTCTGCACACTTGTTGCCACTTTCAAATAGGGGAGAAGAATACAGCTGGGATTGGAGTCGTGCATATCACATTCTGAATTCGACTTTAACACGCATAGTTTTGTTGCCTTCCATCGTAAGCATGGCGGGATCTGAAGGAAAGTTGATCACAGTTATGCTTCTTGCTGGTATGATGCAATTTGCATCTGCTGTAACGTACACCGTGGGCGATGCTGTTGGCTGGACATTTGTAGAAAGTGCAACATTCTACGACGACTGGGCCAAAACCCACACTTTCAGAGTCGGCGATGAGCTCGGTAAGCTTTCCCAACTTCCACTCAACTTACTGCTCATAACAATCACTTGGCTTTGCTGCAGGAATCAGAGCGTCTCCTCCGGCTTACAGACCTGAACATGGTGCCTTTACAGTGTTGCTCATCAAAATAGATGCACTATCACCTTTCAGTGCGCGACATAACATACTTTCATGAATCGTCCACTGAGCTACTCGTATATCCGGTTTCATAAATTGCAGATTTCCAGTACAGCTTTCCGGCTCATGATGTTTTCGAAGTAAGTGAGACAGATGTGGCAAGCTGCACGAATGCCACCACCATCCAGAAGTGGGAGTTCTCCAACGCAAAGGTCACTCTCAACAGCGTTGGGTACCATGGCTACATCTGCTCACTTCCCAGCCACTGCAGCCCCGGAAACATGAAGATGAGTTTGCAAGTTGTTGCTGCAGACGATACAGTTAGCCAGCAGCCTGCAGACGCACCTGCAGGGCCACCAACTGCCGGTGATACACCTGGAAACAGCGGCTTTACTCTAAAATCCGGATCTGCTCTGATGTTCGGAACGGTAGCAGCTGCTTTTGTAGCTCTCCTGAATTAGACTCCAAAACCCAAACGCCATATTTCCCTATCTGCTTGACACTACTTTACGTTGTCAGCAGAAAAGTATGAACGTTTCTGATCTCAGTCGCTTCATTTGAACATTTTACGACACATTTTGTACAAGTTAGAGCATCGGGCCTGAGATAAAACACACACATTTACAACTCCATTAGAACAAACGTAGTTTTGACATGATCCTATTTTGTCTCCCCTTGTACTTTAAATCCCTCCATTTAATTCTTTTGTTCCCAAAACAATGCACCCTTTTGCTACAATTTTTGTGGATGATTGTTAGTATTGTTAAGTGATATCTTCAAATCTCTTCAAAAATATGTTTTGCTACAAACTTTCAATTTCGAGCATTTTGTTTTCAGATGCTACACTTTAAGGCCCGTTCATGTACTAGGCAAAATACATTTTTAGTTCATGTATCGTTTGACCTTATTCCCAACTGAAGCGCAGAAACATAACTTTCCAACCACCTCTCAATTGTGCGGAGTAAGATTTAGTCCATTGTGTCGCAGTAGCATCTCTGCCTTGATGGTTGCGAAATCTAAATATCTGAAAGCGCATTTGAAAAATAGTAAGGGGAGTCCTTGGTCTTCCCACCACAGGAATTGATATGTCACATATACGATTACATCGTTAGAAACCTCAAGATCGTGCATGCAGACTTGTTGCTCACACTCTCTCACTTGCTCTCTCTTCATCTTTGAGTAACTCCGCACCACCATGGCCACTACTCGTGGCGTCCACATACACCGTATCCAGATGATGAAGGACCTTAAGCTGAAACTGCAAGAAACAGAGCGACCGAGAGAAATGTTACGACTAGTGCAGAACAACGTTGGTGACATTACAGAAGACAATTTAAAAATGTAACAGCAGCCCAAGCATAGGCTCAAGGACAAGAAGCGCGATATCAAGTCACGCTATACCCTTTGACAACTGAGAGGGATCAGTCCCTGTACACCAGGTAATCAAGCAGTTGTGGGCGCCCAGCCACATCTCCTGAAAGGTTCGTTGCAGAAGTAGCTACAAAAGAAAACTGAAAGAAGAAATCAAGTTGAGCTCGCAATGCAAAGAGGGATTCTTTGCCGCTTTCAAACCTCAAGACATTGAACCATAGACCAATACAAATGCATGGCCGAATATCCAAAAGGCTATTACACAAAAACGAGTATCTTGAATAAATTTAACCACAATGCTGCGAGTATTTTTAGCCGAACGGTTCCTGCTTCCACTACAACAATCCTCATTCTTCATCAGGGTCCCCGTAAGCTTCGCCAAACATGAAGATTATGTGTTTTCTCATAGCCATGATTTTGAGCACATTGTTGTGGACGCAATTTAGTTTTTAATGTATTTGATTCCTCATCCTTGAAAATTTTTCGAAATCTGCTTTGCTGGCAACGTCGTGCAGGTCTGCAGAAACGGCAGCATACCTGTTTCTGGTGGCGAGATTGGTGATGCGGTGAGCTTTGAACTGATGAACAGCCTGCCATCAATTGAGCAGGTGATTTCTGTATGCACGTTCATTCATTGTGTCTTTGCGAATTCAACAACATCAGTGGGTCCGCCATGGACAACCGGAAAGTCAAAAGAAGAAAATGCGGGCAAGATTCGAGAATGGTCTGTTGTTTCCACTATATCATTTTGAATAACACTGTCACACGGACTGCTCACTTGAGTACATTGGAGGAAGTCACCCATCAACAGTTATCGTTCAGCGACATTTACTCTTCTTACTGCAGCTGTTCATCGATCGTGGACAAGGGCACACAGCTGAAAAAATGGATAATGGGAGACATCCACGTACTAGAACAGGATCGGGTCTGTTGTCGGGCCTGGAAAATTTTGGGAAGACGACACCGAAAGAAACTGCACGTAAAAGTCGTGAACTTGGTGCTGGCAATTGCACAGGCATCCGGATTGGAGCAGGGAAGAAATCCCGCAACAGAACCTCCTGACTGTAACAATGTTTTGGCGGTAACAACAAAGTAACCACAGTACATGGCAAATAGCCAGATCATGCTGTTTCTGTCGTCTTCTGTACCACGCGATAAGCAAGCAAGAGTGTTCTTAGCACGATCAAAATTCGATAACAGTTTCATGTTTTTGGTCTAAAGACCTTCAAACTGTGCATGCTATTACGTACTTGACAGCTGGGGTAGAAGAACAATCACACCAGTACTCGAGGTTGATAACCTCGAGTACTGGTATCCTCTGTACACAGTTCTTCGATATCATAGTTAGTAAAATCCCAAAAAGCTTATCAGTTTTTCTGAACCTAGAAGTTATTTACAATTATGTACACAACTGTTCTGGGTCAAAAGTAAGAAAAAACGTAACATGCTTAATACAGCTGACTTCGCATGTGCCACTCAGCTGTCAAAATACGTCCACTTGCTCGAACAGATCGAACATCCGAGATAAATGGCTTAATAAAGAAGAAAGTTGTAATGGAAGTTGTCAATGTGACGTCATCGAGCATATCATCACACTGACACATTCACCCACGTTTCCTCTCCGCTTGCACAACAAAGTCAAGATCTACTCTGACCTTGTAACACCATGTTCCAATCACAGAGTATGAAAGAACACGATTTTTGTGTTCGAATGTTGTCATTGCCTTGATCGCTCACACGATTTGCATGTTTTTTCCCCGCACTAGCCATCTTAGTGTATGTCTTACCGTTGGTCTTGATGGAGCTAGATTCGCAGTCTCCCAGTAGAAGTGTACATCCAGTTTTTCCACAACTCAGAGTTCGTCACATCTGAGAAACCTGCAATATTATGCATTCTATGACATTTGTCTTTCACATCGCGTCATCTTTGCTAAGAACTTGATTTCAGATCCTCAGATGATAGCTCCTGCAGAGCTATCATCTTGTCCACTCAGTTCGGTCACCAGTGAACATCAAACCCCTCTCTCCCAGAGGCATTCCCGATAAACGGGAAGTCTTTTCTGCCACATGGTCTACGACTTAGCTCGGTACTAGAATCCTGGTATTCTTTGTCAATTTTGATTCCCATAGCTTGTCCCGAGCTCGAGCATACTCCTGCTTCCAATTTGCACGATACCCCTGCGTTCGTGGTGATTGTTCATGATCCGCGTATCGTCAGATCTCAGAGTGATATTTGTGTCACTACTTGTGCACAGTGCAAGAAGTCTCATGTCCAGCACGCACATGCACACGGATTGTGACACTACTACGACGGGAAGATAAGTTTTCTTCGGGAGAGCTGGGCTTTCGGATCGAGGAGAGGGCCTCCTGTAGTCCCAGTTACATTTCGCCCGCGCATGCCAAGTAGCAAATGTATCTTCCTCTGTGAGAGTGGAAGAGAGAGGAGGAGAGAAAGGAAGGTGCAAGTGCGTTCATTGTCAGTCACGCTGCTGATCTTGCGACACGGGAAATGGACTCCGCACACGAGGAACCGGAGCTTCCCTCCGCATTGACATCGTACGGAACTTCCCTCCAGGGCATTGTACGGAGTCTGGAAGGACGAGGTAATCCTTTGAAGAGGCTTCCCTATTTACACTGGCCAGAATTTCAGGAGTTCTTTCCGGAGCGTGCATCACTCTCGACAATCACAGGGTGGCGAAGCCAAGTGCGTCTTCGAGTGCTGGAGGCAATCGGCAACTGCAACACCTTTGAGGTTCTGAACGTGCATGATATTTTTCAGGGAGATATATCGAGGTTGACGGCAAGCGAGTGGGATGTAGTTTTCAGAGGCTTCAGGTCTAGCACCATTCTACAACTTATACAAGTTCATGCTTCTCTGGGGCGTTCAGATACGGAATGGGAGAGCTTCTGTTTACAGCTCGGGAGAATTCTGAATTCCTCTAGCGTAACAGAATTGAAAATGGACAAATGTCGTTTGAGTACCAAATGTTACTTGATTCTCGCCTCAGGAATCCGAACACATTCCGATTCTAAACTCAAGTCTTTAGATTTATACAAGGCGTGGAGGGACGCGAGTGCGCTGAAGCATGTGGCTGACATGATCAATAGTGCTCCTCTATTAGAAACGTTGAGTTTAGGCGGCGATCGGTACAACAGAAAGGTCGATTTCGTTGGAGTCCTGTCCCAGGCTTTGATCCAGAGCTCGTCCCTGAAAGAATTGACCTTAAAACATGGGGTGAGGTGGGGAGCGCCCTTGTTGCTGAAAGCATTGGCCGGAGACGATCGCAACCGATCCATTGAACGTCTTCATCTGAAGGGGATTGATAGACTCGGAGACTGTTTAGGGGAAATTCTTATTTCCAACCCATCATTGAAGGAAGTGAAGTTGTGCTGGTTGCGGACGAGTCTTGACTGGCAAAAGATAGGCGAAGTCATACGTGACAATGTTATAGCGACAACTATACGTGTTAAGTTTCGATTCGGGAGGGATAACTGGAAGTCAATAGAAGCTCTTGCTCAAGTCAAGGACCCCACAGTGGAGCTTGAAATCGTTACTGAGAGGGAAGAAGAAGTGCTTTTACCATTAAAACTATTAGGTAGGGTACTGCGCGGGGAAATAAAATCTCTAAAATCTCTGAGTATCCGGAAGAATTCTGAGCGAATTATCACTTTCAGTATCCTCCCGAGGAATGGGAAAACTGGAGAAACTTCAGTCCAGAAGAGACTGAAATTATCTGTTCGAAGCGAAGATCTTTCGAGGGGAGTATGGGAGGAAGATCTTTCGAAGGGAGCATGGGAGGACCTGCTGCGGTGCATGCAAGGGAATCACCTCACTCACTTGGATTTGTCTGACTCCGAACTCGACGAGGAGGCGTTCAGGGACCTGATGGGGGTACTACAAGTGAACTTGGCTCTCCAGGAAATCGACGTCTCAGAAACATCGTGGGCAAGGGATGGAAAGGCGGCGCAGATTCAAGAGGTCCTGAAGCAGAACAAGGAACGGGCCGTCTACATGTCCGTGTTCCGAGAAGCCAACTTAACATTTGGAGATGCAAAAGCTGGCCGACTCTTCTTATGCGGCTCTCCTCGAGCAGGTAAGATACCCTGTAAATTCTCAGTTTTCTTCCTGAATGTAAACCAACTAGCAATCTATAGTATAACTTTTGTAAAACTAAGATGGACACTACAAATGCTATTTTGATCTATATATAATGATGTGCATATACAAATAGTAACGAAAAAAATCAAATGTGTAAATCATTAATTATATACTTTCAATTATTTTGGTGATTTCTACTTTTTTCATTCGAGTTTATCTTCACATATTAAATTAATACCATGTCATACTGTATCTCAAGAATATAAATTCAAATCATTTGTGAAGACACGGTTA